AGAATTTAAACCTACATTATTACATCATTTTGAATATTTGCAATTTTAATCAATGTACAAGAAATTAAATAAAAGAATGCAAGATGCAAAAGAAATGTTTTGTATATGTATGAAAAAAAATATTATTTATGTAAAAGAGAAAAGAAAATAAAAAAATATTATTTTTTTGGAGTATTTTGATTTTAGGGCAACAACCCTAATTTTTAAAAGAAAATGCATTATTATCTAATTTAATACAACTATTTATTTATTATTTATAAAAAATAAAATAAAATGAAGTATATTGTGGAAAAAGTATTTTTGTATCAAATATTAATAAAAATAAAAATTCAAGTATTTTTATATTTTTTAACTTAAATATATTGATAAACATATATATATATATATATATATATATATATATATATTAAATCTTAAATATATATTATACACAAAACAAATATTTATTTATTATTTTAATAAAATAAATAAAAAGAGTATTTTTTTATGTGAAATATTTTCAGGGGGTAAATAAAAATAAAAAATGTATTTACACTATTTTTCTATTTATTCTAATAATAGTATATATATATTTATGTATAAACAAAGGTAATAAACAAATAAATATGCAATAAATACAAAAAATGATGGAAAAAATATTTTCAAAATTTTAATGTGCTGGGAAAAAATAAACAAGTCAAACAAAAAAGGAAAAAGTCAAAAATGTTAAAAAATGAACAAATGGGCTCAGGGGGGTGAGAAAATGGAAATATGGTGCAAAAAGAAGAAACCACACAGGCCCAGCCCATGTAGCTTCATCTTCAACCTCAGAACACTTCCTTGTTCAAAAAACACGCGTTTTCTAACTCCTCATTCCTTGATCTTTTGCCAAATCTTCCAACATGAAACCTGTAGAGCTTGAAACCACGGTTCTAGACATATAAAGAAGTCAAGCTAACTCTCAGAAATGAGAGAGAATTTCTTCTCTCCCAAATCCTGACCTAATTTTTTAACCATGTTCAGACATAAAATTCTCTAAGCACACGAAATATAAATGAAATCTAAACATATGAGCATGTTCAGGGCTATGATTGTGACATATTTTCTTCACAAACCTAAAGCTAACAATGCCTAACAAGAGAGATAGAACTCCATGAATGTACCTGTTCAGTTGGAATCGAGCTTTGCAATGGAGGATGTTTCAGAGTGAAATGATGACTTGTATAGCTTCCTTGAAGTGTAAGGATGCTTTTCCAAGTCCTACTTTGTCTTGAAACTCCCTGAATCGAGCTAGTGAACTCCAACTGCAAAACAGAAATTTAAAAATGGTGAAGTGGCTTGGAGGTGTTACAGGTCAGGTTTCAGGACATGGTTAGCTTGCATATGTTGTAAGGAAGGTAGAGGAACAAGTTTGGACAAGAATGCTCGAAGGGATTGAGAGATAGCACTCAATCTGCAGGGCTTGCTCTGTTTGAGCAGTTTTGTGGTGTTTCTGAGATGGAGAGTGCTTGAGAGGCAAATGGCTCGTGCAAAAGCTTGGATATGTTATGTGGAATGTGTTTGATAACTTTTTCTCTTGTGTTTGTAAGCTGAGATGAGATATGGCACAAGTTATGCAATGTTACTTGAAAATGAAGCAAGCAAAGGTCACTTTGTGTTTTAGGTCAGTAGGGGCCTCTAATCCTGCTGCATAAGCCTCTCTTGATCAGAGAAATTTGCCCATAATCTTGTGCCAAAGGGATTTTGCTTGTACCTTCTTGGATTTCAATTTGACATAAAGTTAATCTTTTTCAAAAATGGAAAGTTCACTTTATCTAGTTTAGGATTAATCCACTATGCAATGTTAGAACACAAAGAACATGGTCTTAACACATTGAATATGCATTAAATTATTGAGTATGGAATGGTTCAAGGACCTGTAATCAAGCATAAAGCAAGCTAAGTTCAGATTTGCAAAGTTATGAACATATTCATGAACCATTCAAAAGTTGATTTTTGCCAACTTGTGAAATTCGATTCTCTCTAACCATGAGGTTGTTTGAGAAGTTCTTGGACATTTTGGAAAGCTTGGAATGTGTACTACAATCCATCTTTGAAGTGAAAATTAAAATTCCAAGTGGAAGGGTATGAAAAGTGGCCTTGAAGTGGGGTAGAAAACCTTGTCAAAATAGGTTAAAAATTCACTAAGTTAAAAATGGTTTAGTGCCCTTATTCAAAACATTGTAACTTGAGATACAAGATTCAAATGAGAAAACTTTGTGAATCAAAGTTGTAGATTATGCAACAAGCTACAACTTTCATGTTTTGACTTTTGTTTGAATCCAAATGGATCTTGGTGAAAAGGTGGGGCAAAGTTGGGAAAAAATTAGGGTTTTTCATAACTTAGAAAAATTCTAAGTTATGAAAAATTCCATTTTCAAACCCTAATTTGCATTTTGTGATTTCTTGGTGAACAAGTTTTATGATTTGGCATGTTTTGATGAAAAATGAATCTTGACTCTTGATTTTGACCAAAAAGTCAAAGTTTGACTTTTCAGTATACAGTCAAAATTGATCAATTGACTGGGAAATTCAACTGTCAACTTTGTGTACTTGGGATCTTTTAAGCTTGATGAATGTGTCAAGATAATTTCATGGGGTCCTTGAGTCCATATGGGAGCTTGGTTTGCCATTGGTTAGGTCAAACAGTCAAAAATTGCCTTTGTGCAGTCAAAACCCTAAAAATGACCATTTTGCCCTTTTGGTGATCTGATCAAATTTCTTGTGGAATTGTGATCCAAACTTGATCAAATGGTTCATGTGAGTTCATAATGTTGGTGTGGATCAAATTTCATGAGGTTTGACTGTAAATTGGCCACAGTTGACTTTTTCCCCAATACAGCTGATTTCTAGGTCAACTGTCCAATTGACTGGGCAAAACTTGGAATCAAGACTTGAAACTTGGTATAGGTAAACTTGGGAGTCCAATATGAAGCATGAAAGTCATCTTAGGCATTTTAGGTCAAAACATCCTTGGGCAACCACAAACCCTAATTTGAGTCCACAGTGCAAGGAGAAGTCTTGAGCAGAGGAAACCCTAACTGGATCTTGATCTTCAAAGGTCTTGTGATGAGAAAATGTTGAGGAAATGGGAGGGAAAATTTTGGGGTACAACAGTGTGTAAATGGAGTAAAAAGTATGGGAGGATGCGCTCTCCTCCTTAGCATTTGGACATTCTGGCGTATACCATTCATTGCTCCTTAGAGTAGGATTGTCCCATCTTATCCTTATGCAATAAGGTAATTGTTATTTATAATTTCACTATTCTTACGCATTAAATTGATACATGTAATTTTAACACATTTGTTTATTTTGGAATTGCAAGATTTGCTCAACGAGGTATGAACTACGAAAAAGATCCTCGTGGTTATCTACTTGGATATCGAGATCATCTAAATCACATGTTACCACGGGATGTAAATTTGTCAAAGTATAATATCCCTACGTTATTTTGAGATATGTATTTCACTCTAACTATTAAATTTTGTGTAAGAGTTTATTTGGAGGTCATACCCTTATAACCACGTTATGTCGGGAATGATAGTAACATTTGGAGTGCAAGAGCTCTATTATATATTTTCATATTGTTGAAATGCATCAAGTAGATAGGGTCAAACTTCAATTTGGGTTTGAACAAGAAGTCCCTTCACAACCAAGAAATTGTGATGACCAACACAATATAGAAATGGTTGATGCATGGGGTCAACATTGGAGAAACGTGAACAGACTTGAGAATGATGAGTGGAGAAACATAAGGAATTTGGTATTAGGTGGGAACATGTTGGAGCCTATCGATGGTAATTGCATGCATAGAGAAGCATATATGGCATGGTTTAGACCCATTCCATTTATGCGTGCTTCTTAACCATAATTTTCAAATGACCCCCGTCAATTTGCCTCCTCCTCTTCAACACAACAAACAATCCTTTATACATCAAAAAATTCTTCAAATGAACCCATCCCAATTTAAAATCCAAACATCTTCATTCCCCCAACAATCATATCATCACACTCAAACCACACAACATCACACATTTTATGCCACATCATCTCGACAACAAACTCATCACACCCTAACCCCTCAATCAAACTTCTATTACACCCAACAATATCAACAACGAACCACACTTTTACCACCCATACAATACACCCCGATTCCACAACCTAACTTTGATAATTCATACCTTTTACAATAAACCTTTAACCCTTCACAACAATCCTTTAACGCTTCACCCTCTAATTGTAACCCTTCGGCCTATCAACCCACTGAAGATGTTTATTATCCTCCCTTCGAACAGAATATGCCTGATATCCAGACACAACATACACTTCTATTCACCACTAATGCACTCACGGGTGAAGAGTTGTTGAGTTTGCCACCTATTTTTGTTGATGATATAATTTTTAATATGAGTGACGATCAATCAAATTTAAGAAAGATAATAGAATTTTAATATTATATTAATAAAATATTAAAAATATATTATCTATATTAAAAATCATTAAAATTTATAGAAAAATAATTAATTTAAAATATAAAAACTATTAAAAAGATTTTAAAAATCAGAAAAGAAAAAAATCTTCATCCAATCGTCCATTCATTGGGCAAGAGACTACATGGAAAAAAAAATTCTATCCATTCGTTCATTGATTAGACGAGAGAGTAATAAAACTGTGACATATTGATAAATTAATTTCAGAGTATGATAAAATCCATAGTTTGTTTACTTAATATTCACATACATTGTTGAGTTTGTTATTTTTACTGTTTCTTTCTCACAATACGTGAATGGATCTCATCGCACGTGAAAGTGACTGAGAAACCAAATCCAAAATCCAAAGGCAAAGCGTAGCGTTGAATTTTGATTCATTCAATCTCAATAATAATATATCATTCTCCACTTTCACTCCACTTCAACTCCCAACCTTCAAACACAAGTGACTCAACAACTTTGCTTCCATCAATTTTCAATTTCAATTTCATGGGACAAATCTTCGACAAACTTCAAGGTATTTTTCGATCTTTCTTTCCTGCACCTAACTCATATAGCTGGATTTGCTTTCTTTAGAGGGTAAACGCATGGAAATTTGTTGAATTTTTACATTTTCACTATTTCTTATACTCTGCGCATATGTCTGTGTGTGTAATCCTTGATTCTGTAAGTAACTGAATTTATCATCAAGTTAGGCAAATTGGGGATTGGAGTCTCATGGCATGACAATGGCACCAGTAATAATTTGAAGAAAAAAAATGAATAAATTAAACGTAATTAAAAGAGTCCGTGTTGGTTTCATGGACAATTGTGATGATTAGGGAGCTACCTTCTAAACCTTTCAAAAACTATTAGAACTTACCCCTAAGGTATTATTAAAGATCCTTTTCTGCATAATTGATGGTCACAAGAAATATTTATTTCATTCTGCGTGAACTTGAGAAATCTGAATGGAATGATAATGCATTTTTTATGCTATGACATTTAATGCAGGTGAAGCGTGGAGGAAAAAGCAAGTTAGGAAGATTACTGATCGAGTTTTTCAGAATGTAAGGAATCAAATTCGAACGGAAAATTTGAGTTTTGAAGATCTGTATATTGCTGTTTTACTTGTTTACAAGTAAGGAATCTGCTTCATATAGTTGTATTCAACATTTCATCTTACTTGATAAGATGTTCTTTTGGATTATGAATAGATCTTCTAATAGTGATCTGTTTCTATCTTATAGTGATATCAACAAGTTTATTCCTGGTCCCCATTTCGATCCTCCATCGAAAGAAAACGTCAGACAAATCATGCAGGTACTTTGTTGTGTCATATACTAAGACCAAACTATATACTTGTTTATAAACGAAACTGAATTTTTTATGCTGTTGAAATGAATCTATGCTGCCTTGCTTTAGACGAGACTTTTGGTTCATTTGAGTGATGAATGTGTCATCATGCATTTAGGATTAAGCAATGTCAGTAGAAATGCGAGAAGGAATGTGATATAATAATTGTTGGTATATTTAAATTTAGTACGATTCATACAACGATGTGCAGGAATGTGATATAAACTTGGATGGGGCAATTGATCATGACGAATTTTGCGATTTCATCCAGAAAATGACAGCTGATACATTCACTGTTGTTAGTCAAAAACTTATTCTGACTTTGGTTGTAGCACCAAGTGTTGCGATGGCAACAAAAAGAGCCACTGAAGGTGTCCCTGGTGTTGGAAAAGTGGTTCAAAGGTTACCAAATGCACTTTATGCATCGCTTGTTACCCTTGCAGTTGTGTGGTTCCAAAAGATGGGAGATCAGTCTGGAATCTGATTAGTAGTGCTATCATTTTTCATCATTTCTTATAAAGAAAACCATAGAATTATCATGACTGTACATATCATTACCACTGTTTGCATGTAAGTTCTAAAATTGCTGTCCTGAATAAGAATGGTTGTATTTGACATTTTGAACAAAAAATAGTCTTGACTTTTCTCTGAAAGGCTATCCATGTGATAATAAAAGTAGATGACATAATCTCTCAAAGTTATGATAAAGTAATGATGTGAAATGACTCATTGCCAACATTAAGTTAGTGTTATTTGAATTCTGAGTAAATCATGAAGCTTGTGACAGAAAGTGTCAAAAAATGAGGACTCAAAATTGTTCAACTCTATCTATAGAGTTGTAGATATGCTAAACTAATTCCCTTAAATCTAGGGAATAATTCATGAATTCAAGTAGTTGGTATAATAGAAACTAACTAACTGCATACTGTTATAACTTATTATAGAAATTGATTGCATGTCTGCTAGCATAGGCGTCAACTGTGAGACTTAACTGAAAATATCTCTAGTAACCATAGAAAGTAGAGGATCTTGTTTTACTATCGATTTGTCAAAGACTCTCAGATTATCTTTGAGACTGATGAAATAAGATGCAAACAGAGGTTTGGTGGGAATATATGTTCATGAGACACTACTACACATTTGTTCATTGTTTTAACTCTGACAAAGAATATGTCAAGCTTCAAGTGTTATGTTCTTCTATGGAGAATTGTCTGTTTGCCAAAAAGATTGTGCTTACTTAAAATTGTCACATAATAATTAAGGGTTGTGAAACTTAAGTTGCAGCTCAGAGAGAAGGGATTGAAGAAAAAAAATTCAGCAGATAGAGTGGCAAAGCACTTGTATTCTACTTTTGCATTGGAACAAGCTATTAAAATTGAGGATTTCTTAATGCACCCTAGATATTTCTTAGCCACCGGGTAAAATTCCAAAAATATTTTTGAAAATTGGAAATACATTTTCGGTGCGTATCCTATACACATATAATTCGCTTGTTTCTGAGATTCACTCTATTTTATGATAAATTTTATAGCGGAAATACACTTCCGGGAGTGTATTTCCGGTTCCTAATATATATATATATATATATATATATAAGACTTAAATAGTCTTTTAGTCTCTGTAATAGTCTTTTAGACTTTGTAATTTGGTTTGTTTTTTTATTTTTGTCCCTGTATTTTTTTTTCTTTGAAATGATTTCTGAATATTATTATTTTTTTTTTTAGTCCTTAAATTTAAAATCGCAAGAAAATTCGAAGGAAAATCTGCAGAAAACCTGAGGATTTCTGTTTTATGGATTACAACCAAATGAAATTCAACACTTAAGGACTTTATCCCAGAAAAAAAAAGATTAATCAACTTTTTGGTCCTTCTAAATATCTCAAATTTCGATTTTAGTCTTTCTAAATTTTTTCTTCAAAGAATGATCCTTTTAAAAATTTAAAATTTAACTTTTGATCCCTCGTGACAAAATCGTGTTTTAATTTCAGCGTGTTTTATTCATGTTTCTTTCCGTTTCAATATAGGATAAGGAAAGGGAATAATTTGATTGCACTCAATCACTCTTGCACTTAATAGAATCCTATAACTTGCTCTTTTTTTGGTAGTTTTAAACATCAATGAGTGTGGAAAATTGCGTTTGGTGTATGGTTGGTGCGTTTTTCTTCCGATTATCATTAAGTAGTAGTTTTCATAATTAGGAATCGAAAATACATTTTCGATTTATATTGGAAATGTATTTTTGATTTTTCGTAAAAGTAATTTTTTTATAAAAATGATGTATTTCGAAAATACACTTTTAAATGGCATTTTTGATTTTTTAATAGGGTGTTTTTCTCTTATATAGGATGTCATAAGAAATTCTCTTTAAGTTTATTTTCAAGACTACCATGATACGATGTTTGGGCTTAGATACTTACATGATCTTAAAGTTAAAGTAAAGCGAATTTTTTTTTCCACCCCGTCACCTTCTCCCACGCTCTTGAAAATCCAAAATATCCTTGGTAATTTTTAGAGATACATCTCTGAAAACACCCTTCATAAATCAAGTATTAAATTGGTTCGGAGATGCATCGTTGAAATTTTCTAGAGTAAAATCGGAGATGCATATCAGAAAACACTCCTAAATTCATTCGCTACGCATTTTCATTGAAATTGACACCGTTGTCAGGGACTCGCTGTCGATTTTAACCAATATTAGAGTCATAGAAATTATATCCTCGCGTTCTGGCCTTTGCATTCACGTGTTTTTGGCCTTTACGCGAGCTAACGTAAAACTCGATTTTCTAAAAAAATCGATTCTGAATAGAAATTTTACTGTGTCAATTCATTAGGAAAAAATAGGAATCAAACTCGATTCCTTGTTTTTCTATTTTATTTTATTTATTTTCCATTTTTATATTTTAAAAAAAAATCGAAATTTTTTGTAGACATTTAATTTGATTTTATTTTATTTTTAGTTGTATTTTCATATTTTTATAATTTTATTATAATCGTTTTTCTTTTTTTCAATTGTTTTCCTCAATAGAGAAATTGTTGGTATTTACATATTTGTTGCATTGTTGATGTATGGCTTCTAGGTGTGCATATTCAGATACATCTAATACTAAATTAAAAAAAAAACACAACAAGAAACTTTTTAGATATGCATATCCGAAAATATATTTTTTTCGTTAAAAAAAAGTTTATCCGGAGATGCATATCCGAAAATACTTTTTTTCGTAAAAAAAAAAGTTTATCCGGATATGCATCTCTGAAATTAAGTATTTTATGAAAAATAGATGCGTTCGGAGATGTATCTCCGAAAATAAAGGGAATTTTTTATATTTCGCTAGAGGCTTGGGAGAAGGTGACAGGGTGGAAAAAGAAATTCCCTAAAGTAAATATTAGAGAATTTGTTAATGCACACTATGGATTACTGACACACCACGTAAATATACAATAATATCCCTAGATTGTATAGATGTATCTCTGAACGTACCAAACACATACTACCAAAGCTAATTTTGAGTCAAACCCCATGTTTGTGTCTATTTTGAATCCTGAAATGTGTAACACCCTTCTAAATTCCAAGGAATATTCATAAATAATTCATACAATTAATCAGAGTATTTCACAAAAGGATATCACATCTTCATATAAAACTTCATAATAAAACATCTTGCTCCGTAACACGGGTTCTCAATATCATTTAAGACAAATATGTCCTTAGTAACATCAATTTAATACTTCAAAAATTTGCAGCGAAATCATTGGTTCAAAACACCTTATTATAAATACTTCATAAAATCTCATCATACTTCGTGATTCATAAGCAGAATTCAAAATAACTCGGTACCATGAAAGGTAATCCAACATCTTAGAAACAAAACAAAAGACATAAGATTCATGATTCAAATGATCCCAATTCCGATGTTACATATCAGAGAAAGATCCACTTTATTTTACGAAAGCAAATCGACACACTCTGAAGCTATCCTCTAGTGCTTCGACGATTACTCTTTATCACTTGTGCGTTACCCATGTGGAGTCAATATTTAAGCAGAAATGGTGAGTAAATCATAATTATTATAAAAGACATAAGAAATAAATATAGTAGACATTCACATAGGCAAGGTATCATCCATCGACAGAACCTCATGATATACTCACACCTTCACAATATCATCAACACATAACATCATATCATCAAAATACCATTTAGCAACAAGCATCATTAAATCACATCATTATGCAATGTCACTTATAATAAAATGCAACATCATAGACTCATGCATGTGGTACCAAAACATAACTGATAACTCAGTCATTGTTATCTCCAAAGATCCCCACCAATAGAATCGGTTCCCACTTGGAACCAGAGAACTTCACAAAATCGCATTTAATCCACACTATGGGATTAAGGTCATCACTGGACCATAACGTCCTATATACATCACTGGATCAATATCCTACAAAATGTCACTGGATCAAAGTCCTACAAAATTCCATAAATGCATGATACACAACAACATAATAAACACGACCACGGCTAGTCAAAACGCATCATCATCCATGAATTCATCACAATATCATTAAATCGTCATAATAAACAAAACATCTTCATAACATCATCATATCATCATAATAAACAAAACATCTGCATAACATTATCATATCATCATAATAAACAAAACAACTTCATGATATCATCATAATAAATAAAACATCATTGTAATTCGTCACGGGGAAACCTATCTTTATCCTAACTTAGGCATTATCATTATAATCCAACACGGGAATCTTAACTTCATTCTAACTTAGGTATTGTGAATATACTCTTTATTTCTCCTTTTATTCCATCAAAATAAATTTTATTGTGTTAGTTATCTCACGCTTAGGACGACACTTCAATTTGAGTTCTAAAACTCAAGTTATGGCACTTTTAAGAAAATCTAACACATCCACTCAATTCTAGACCCCATCGTCTGGCGACACACCTCCATCGCCTCACGACGCTTCCACCGCCCCTCTCAGCGCCCAATGATACTTGGAGTGACACACTCTATTAGTGTCACTCCTTTCCACCATTCCCATCGCTTCTTGGCTTTCCTAACGACGCCCATGTGATGCATCTTTTCCCGACGACACCACCTCGTCGCTCTGCAACACAGCACGAACAGGGTTTTCCTGTTGTGATTTCCTGTATAAAACAGTCCCAAATTCTTAATATTCCACCATATTTCAGGTCTCCAAACATCCGTATTTCCCATAGTTTCATCATATGATAACATCCCAAGATACTATACTTCCTATGCATCAAATCATTGCAAATAAATATCACAATTCTACCAATTCATCATGAAACATCACATAACTACTGATAACCAAAACCTAATACAATTCTACAGTTATCTAAGCCTTAGATTAATCATAATAATAATGATAAACATCCTTTACCTTAGATTATAATAGCAAATCAATTCCTCTTGGTATTCTATCATAAAT